TTATCTAGTTACTAGGTGTTCAAATTCTAATACTTTTTTTTCTCCTACTTGGAATCGCGTAAGAAACATCAGGTTCATGGGCAACATTGGTTCTCTTGTACTAGTTCATTCCTTTTAGTCACTGGCTTAAGGACATCAATTTCCAGATACTGTGGTTCCATTTCGTCAGGCTCTTGGCAGCTTTCTGAAATTTCCTCCCTGCCTTTCAGACGAGGGTACAGCCACGTCCTGTGACCCGCCCAGCAGGCGACGTTAAGACCGTGATGAGGAGGAAAGGCACAGGGCTGACTGCCCAAGGCCAATACACTGTATCTAATCGGGCCAGCAGTGCCGCTGAGGCGCCGCCTCCTCAGCCGTGGGCCAGCCCCACCCAGTCCTGGGTCAAGAGGCTTTTACCTGAGGCAGGAAACAGCCTGACTCAGCAGTGAGGTGTGGCTCATGGACTGAGACAACTCTGAAGTGGATATTTATACTGAGCCACCCTAAATTCTCTGCAACTTGGGTGCCAACTCAGATTTCCCCATGAATCTGTGAAACCACTCTGCCCTCTATCCTGCAGGGTCCGCTGCTCTGCAAAACCTCATCTACGTGTGAACTTAGTATTTACTACCTGGAGATGAAGTGACTGGGCTTTAAGAATGAGCTGCGGTCAATGTGAGGACCCAAGGAAGCTGCTTCTGTAACTAGCCTGGGGCCCTTACCAGAGGTTTTGGGTCCATGCCAAGGCCCAACTAATGCCTTAGGATCTGCAAAGGTGAAGGACAAGGGAATGAAATGGAAAACAGCCATGACTTGCTCCGGAAGGGACTAAGTCCAGCCATCAACCTTGAATTCAGGGTAGAAATCCAGTTAGGACAGGAAGGAGCAAAGTGATTGAGTGCTTCTCTCACGACCTCCTCCACCCACCCTAAGAGGGAACAGTCTGTGTTCCCAAATGAGGGAAAATGAACTAGGAGTTGCTCAGCCCCAGTAAGGCCTCCCACGCCCCCTCAACTGAACGCTGCAATTATCCACCGCTCCTGAGTGTGAGGAGCCACACACAGCGGAGGCATCCACACCTGGGCCATTCCCCCCAACTGGCATCAGAGCTGGTACTGCTGGACTCCACCTCCCTGCTTCCCAGCTGTATGGCCCCGCTTCCCTAACTTGTCACAGTCCAGGGCTAGGCTCTCATCCTCCTGGCCTGGGCTCCCTCCACACCCACACCTACCATGAACAGCTCACACATCTCTTGCTGTTCAGGGGGATCCTCTCAATTTTCAGTGCCCGTATGGGACTACTGCACGTAAAAACAAGGCCCAGCATCTTTCTTTCTCTGTTTAAAATCTATTTCCTACAAGTCGCAAGGGTTCCAAGAATTCGGATGTGGGTGGTTATAAACTCATATTTGCCCTTCCCCCCACCCCATGGTGCAGATTGTGTGTAGGCAACAATAGTAGGTCTAGTAGCATAGAGCTGGTATAGTAGCTATGAGGCACTATCTCAGTGCTTCACATATATTTCTTAATCCTCAAAATAACCCTACCAGGAGGGTATTATCTTTATTTTTGGATAAGGACTCTGAACCCAGAAAAGCTAGTTATCTTGATTAAGATCACATTTTAGAGAGGACAGAGTGGGACTCAAACCCAGATGGGCTGACTCCACAGCACTGGCACTGGAGGGGTTAGGGGAAGGAGAGGTGGTGGGAGAAATCCACTCAGGTGCAGGTGGAGAAACTTTTAAAATAATAAAACCAACTCACATTATCCCATGTATAGGCAATTTTCAATAAAGCAGTGATGAAACTGTCTTCCTCACCTGGGTGGATCCCTCCTGCGGCCTTATACGGCTGGGCGCTGTCATGTCTGAATACAGTGCTGACAGTGAAACAATCACGGTACAACCGAGGGGAGCTGGACAGCAACACTGCGGATGACTGAGCTAAGATATGGCAAGGACCTGGACTTTAAAAATTATTGTGGTAAAATACACACAGAATTTACCATTTTAACCATTCAGTTCAGCGGCATTAAGTACACTCACAATGTTGTGCAACCATCACCGCCACTATCCATTTCCAGAACTTTGTCATCATCCCCAGAGAAACCCTGCAACCATCAAACATGACCCTCCATTCTTCCCTCCCCCAGCTCTGGCCGCCTCTACGCTTCTTTCTCTAGGATTTGCCTATTTTAGGTACATACGGTATTTGCCCTTTTGTGTTTGGTTTTTTTCCACTTAGCTTAATGATTTCAAGGTTGTATCTATGTTGTAGCGTGTATCAGAATTTTATGCCTTTTTAAGGCGCAATAATATTCCACTGTATGTAAGAACCCACATTTTTAATGACATCTTTGAGGCACCATGTTAGGGGACTTCTTGTTAAGGTGGATGGTAAGTTTACCTTATGGTGTAGGTCATGTGCATTGGGTTTTCAGTTTCCTACAGCTGAGAATCCTGACAACTCAGATTCTTCTGTGAAGCTCCAGGGTGGGTGACAGGCCCACAGAGAACTCAAAATGGGAGCTCTCTAGCACGTGACACGATTTTCCAGAATTTCCCTGAGGGGGTGTGTGTAAACCTAAATCTATGTATGTGCACGTATATATATGCACACAAACACGTGACTAAGCCCCCACCTTTACCTCTTTTCAGCCTCAGTTTAGCTATTTTGATACTGCTTACAACTGTAAAGTTCAACATGTACAGTTAATCAGTACTTAGCATTTTTCATCATAAAATATTGAACTCCAAATAGAGCGAGACATTGTGTCTGGTGCTCTACAGAGGAGTACGGATTGATGCCTCTTTTCAAAATACTTTTCCACAATCTTCAATAGAGTTAGTAATAATCAAGTTTAGTCAAGGGTAAAGAATAAAAACATTTATTTAAGAAATACTTTCCAGCAGCAATTGCTGAGTGTGGCAGGCATGAAGAGTGGGTGATTAATGTTTTGTTGGTGTATGAAATTTGAGACACAGGAAGCAGTATGGCAAAAAAAAAGAATACTTACTATTAAAACTGAAAAAGATAGTAAGCCACTATGATAGAAAGGGGGTTGAGGTTAAGAAAATGTCACCGTGCACTGAAAACAATCTCCTCTTTAATAAGTATTAGTACAGAAGGAGGCTAGACTTTCTTGCAAGATTATGGGGGAATGTTCCTCAGGGAAGACTCTGGCTCCTGGTATGAAGGGGTGGACTGCAGAAAGATGTGAGCAGACACTGGGAAGTGGGATAAAGAGAAAGAAAAATCAGGCAGGATGTCTTTGCTCAAGGGTCCCTATAAAAATATATTCTTTAAAATGTAAGCAAGTGTTATTCCTTTTTCTGTGACTATAAAAGTCTAATGGACAGCATGAGGAATGTTGTAAACATATAAGAAAACTCTTTCATTGTAAACATATATAAAGTCTCCTAAAACTATTATATATCACATTACAAAATTCTGGTTTTTGCTTGTTCCCATTTCTGGTTCCTAGTTGTTCACATTCTGGGAGAGAACAAAGGTCTTTACAGACCCATCAGTCCAGTCCTTTTATTTCACAGATAAAGAGGGTAAGCAGCTTGCCTATGGTCACATTCATCCTCAGTGGCAGCGACTGGACTAGGCCCAGGTCTCCGGATCTTCCATTGGCACTTTTTGCAGTATAACATGACATGATTCACACCCCACTCCATCCTGGTCTCTGCTTGACTCTTCCTGAATCTCAGCTGGGGCAGAAGGGCTGCCAAGGAAAGGAACAGGTCTGTCTGGGGCTTCTCTGAGTTGCTATGAGTGTGGGACACTAGGAGGTGATAAAACACATCTCCTACTTCTGTTTATCCCAACTCTAAATATTGAGAGAGACAGAGACACAGAGAGAGACTACTCTCAACACCTGAGAAATATTTCCTGGATAGAACCCTGTACATGAGAGAAATTTTTAAAGGTTGCCATAAGAGAGGTAACTGATTTTAAAAAAACATCTGGCAGAGGACACACAATCATACACCTTTCAGAAGCTCTGCAAATGAAGCCCTGATTACAGAAGATGACCAACATGGGGAGCTTCGGGCTCTCAGGACATCTCAACCCTGCTCCATGGAGTCTCTGACCACCAGTGGTGGGACTTGCCTCCAAATATGCAAATTCCAGCAGAAAGAAAAATACATTTGACTGGATTCTTTTGAAAAGTCCCACCATTCTCACGTCTATTTCTGATTTCATGTTCATCAGCACTCAACATTCCATATGTTCTATTCTGGCTAACCAGATTTCTGGGTAACAACTGGATGGATGCTTTATCACAACATTCATGAGGGGTGTCTCAAGGAGGAGGGGTGATCAGGTCCCTTGGGCCATTCTTATGCATGTCCTTTGAAAACAAAATTCAGTGAAAATGTTTTTAAATTATTATTATTGTTATTTCCTAATCCTCAACTGAGCATATGTTTTTATTGATTTC